AATCACACACAAAAAAAACTGTAAGATACTAACACCACGAAATGTGATATGCAAATCAGTGCATTGTACCAGTATTGCATACCAGTATCTTGTTGGCATAGAATGTATTGATATGATTGCAATGTTGTTCACGTGTGTAGCTTCCAACAGCACCGAAGCCTGACATGAAGAATACCTCACAAGTAATGCCCTTAGAGTAAGGTATCATATCAGAAGAAATATACTGTATATATATTAGATTATATGAAAATAAGCCTATGATAGATTGCTTGAGAATTGTTATTATGATAGATGCTTTAGTAATTGATTTTATATCACATGAAGTGGCATTTTTCATTGTTCTTTGAAATGTAAGCGTTAGTCATAACATAGAAGACATTTTGACATATTTTGTATCACTGATACATAGAACATGCACATCTATCCTACAACCATCATATATTCATAGTTTAGAACACAGATACTAAAAATACCCTATTTTATATTTATGCTTTTAAACCAAATGTGGTGAATGCGCACAAAAATTATTGATGTTATTTATGCTTTCAAATGCTGTATTTCTTGCATTGTCTTTTCTGTTCGTGATTTTCCTTTTTTATATATATATTTAGTGAAAATAGCTTGTTTTACTTTTTTGGTAATTTATTGAGAAAAAGAAAGTCATTCTTCATATGAATTTATAGTTTGCTATGCACAAGTAAATATTCAACCTTCTTTCGTTTCATTTCTTTCAAATCACGGTGTAAATAATTTAAAATTCATTCATAGACAAATCTCACGGAAACACTTATCCAAAGCCTACACTTATCACAAGTAAACTATGTACATAGCTTTACCAGTCTTTTTTTTTATCCATAATATCTTTCTTACTTAGTAATATTACAAGGGACATTGATTTTACTCCCTCAAAAGTCTCAACACTTTACAAGGCACTGCCACGACAGTAGCAGTAAAAAAAAAGGCACATCAAATACGTACCTAATGCATACTGGTATGTCTGCATGAAGCTAGATTGTCTGTAGTATATGTAAAACCTCTGATAATGTTTATTTCTCCAGTAGATGAGGACGACGAACAACCACGGGTCCTGCAGTTAACGAATCAACACAAGGGAGCCATCAGGGCCATCAGGAAGGTGGGTTTTATAACGAAAATGAGATTATTGTTGGTTTTGAAATTTTTTATTGTCGTTATTGGATGTAGCTATTATCATCGTCACCACCATCATCATCATCATCATCATCATCATCATCATCATCATCGTAGTCGTCGCCGTCGCTGCCGCCATCATTATTACTATTATTGTCATTATCATTATTATTATTATAATTATCATAATTGGTTATCATTATCATTACCACTACCATCACCATTATTAGGACATTATCGCTATTACTGTTATTATCATTGCTATTATCTGCAGTAGTAGTAGTAGCAGTAGAAGCAGTAAAAATAGTAGTACTAGTAGTAGTGTTGGTACTACTGCTACTACTACTATTACTATATAGTGACCGCTGGGCAACCGCCGTTTACGGACCGACACCCCCGAAAACAGTATCAAAGCTGACAACGGATTTGAGCCGAGACGTCAAGACCTCGAGTACTATTCAACTTCAGCTTTAGTTCCAACAGCACTGACTGCTCTTTTTGGAGCTGCATGCTGTCTCGCCGATATAACACAAATTCACTCTCATGTATTTCTGTTACTACCGTGGTGACCATCGAGGTGATAGAGCAGAACGGCATAGCAGTTTCCAACAGTATTATGATTGTACTACCTGCCTGCAACTACCAAAGCCTGCCGATGTAGTTCACATATCACCGATTCAGCCACGAAGTACCGCTACTTCGTTCGGATGCTGCCTCCTGAACTTTATGAAATGGTCCCGCGACACAATCGGCGATTCTTTATGTCGCTTCATCTGACAGACTAAGATCCTCCTCCCTTTGCCGGTATCACGACCAGTTTGAAGTCCGTGCCAGCCGCTGTGGTTGCTCATGTTCACTGCAGGAAAACGCAGAGTTCAGGAATTAGTGGCGCCACCTTTCTGCACCTCCAAAAGGCACCTATTCTACGGACCAACACTATCTGCATCTTAGTCACCATACCTGCTACATCTCAGACCAGCCAAATCGGTCCGCTTGCTATTGGCCTGCAGCGCCCTTCTCATGGGTCTTCGTCGTGGCAGATATCCCACACACCCATCTGAGGCGCTTGCACCACAGGCAAGGCTACCGTTGATAAGCAGACCTCCACCAGACATCCCCGAATTCTCCCAGATCTGGTAGAAAGCGCAGATGTTTCTGTGACAGGAGATCGGGCGAGAATGACGACCCGGTAGACCTGAGTCCCTTGCCCGTGGTGACCTGTGCGGGTTGGACCACTCTGGGCGTCGGAATCGGCTGACGTTTCTTATCAAGACCTTGCTCGGTTGGACACAGGGAGAGAGAGATGGGGGTAAGATTGCCGTGATCTCCTACAGGCAAACCGTGAGTCTAT